AATTTCTTTTCCTTTATTTAACCTATGAAAACATGAGGAAAAAAAAACATATAAAATGATATAAATATACTTCTAATAATAACATCAAACATTGTAAATAATAAATCAAAGTCTTAAATAACAAAGTTTACACATTTTAAATTTCTAATAGAAATATTTAAGTCTCAATGCCTTTAAAATTTAAAGTCCAAGCATACCAACTATTAACCAAATATTAAAGCCTTACTACCTTAAAACTTTAAAAGTCTTAATACACAACCAAACAAATATAAAACATTTGTAAGTCCAAGTACATCAAAGTCTAAATACCTTAAAACATCAAAGTCTTAATTAATATCTTAAAAACAAACATAAAATATTTGTAAGTCCAATTACATCTATCAAATATAATCAAGCATCTTCAATAATAAAATTTGAGTCCACATTTAAACGGGTAATCCGCGGGCTCGCGGATTAAATCCGCAAAATCCGCGGACTAAACGGGCCGGACCTAAAAAGTCCGTATGATTATACGGATTAAAAAAAATGGGTCCGTTATCCGTGAAGTCCGCGGACTTACGGACCGGTCCGCGGACTCAGGTCCATATACCCACCCCTACCACCATGTGACACTTTTCAGAATCCACCCAGTTGATGGTAGTGGTGTAGCATAAAAAACCCTTTAACTTTATTTGAAGTCATTGATGCAGTACACTGTTAATCACGCCTCACCTCTGATCCAGTGTTGTGTTATTACTTATTATAGCATATGGTCCAATCCAGGTGACCACATGAACAGTTACCTTTCCTTTCTACTATCCTTTTTCATCCCCTACCACCCTACTTCATAAACTTTAATAATATATAAAAGAAATAATTTTTTTACAGGAATTATTTTAATCTTCACATTTCTTTTTTAACTCGACCCTAGAATTAGGATGAGCGATGTCACACTGTTTAAGTATTTGGAAACTGGACTTGAACAGTAAAAGGAAAAACTTAATAAAGGGACTTTATATAAATGGTGTCCTTTGGTTTTGGTGCAAAGAAGAGGAAACTATAAACTACACGTGGTAGACATGAATGGGGTTGCTTATACATAAGATGGTTGATGGTCATGCAAGAGAAATCATGAGACTCCAATTATGGGTTGAGTCTTGATTGGGAGAGATAGGACAGTGATGTAATTGTCAATGGATACCTTAGTGGACAGTGTCAGTGAGCGTTGTAGCTTCATAAAACATGTGTCATCCAATGTCATTATCGCAATCAAAGACTAGAAGTGTGCACTGCTAAGTCATCCTTTGTTTACTTTATCTCACTTTGCATAACTATAACGGTGTGTTTGGACGAAAAATTTTATAAATTTAAATTTTTTTAAATTATTAATATTTGAATTATTTTGATTTTAATTTCTATTATTTTTAAAATATTTTGTTTGGATGAGTCAATTTAAATTTTTTAAATTTTAAATTATTAAGTTAAATATGATAATGTGATTTTATCATAATAAAATTGATTTTAAAAATATATTTTTATATTGAGATTTTAAAATTAAATTTTATAAAAATAAATATTAATTTATTTTTAAATATTTAAAAATTTTAAAAATTAATATTAAATAATATTTAATAATTTTAAAAATATTTTTGAATATCCAATAATTAAAAGAATGAAAATATAAAATAAAATATATAGATAAAATAAAAAAATAAATATGAGGAATTTCAAATTCTCCCATTTTTGGGAGAATTTGAAATTCTACTATTTGAAGAAATTTCACAAATGCTTAGAGTTCAAATTCTTTGTAAATTCCTTATCCAAATAAAGCATTTCACCTCAAAGAATTTAAAATTCTTCAAATAAATAAATTACCCTATATAAATTCTCCATCCAAACACATCATAACAGTTAATTAAATTACAATCTCATATTTCTTTTTGTATTTTAAATAACACAATAAAATCCAATAACTAACTATTGATTTCGTGGATTTTATTTTATTCATCAGAATGGTATCAGAAAATTGTAATAATTTAAGTACTTACTTGATCAATTCAACTAAATCTCTGGTGATTATGTGAATTTAAGTGTTAAAGAGTTTAATTATTGTAAGAAAAAATATGTTAAGAAAAAACTATTCTTTAAAAATGATTTTTTAAACAAATGTGTCGTTTTCAACATAATTCTGAAATTTAATTTTTATATATTAATGAAAAAGACACTCCATGTTTATGTATTAATTTAAAAAAAAATAAGATTTATAGATATATACAAAAAGAGAAAAAAGAAATCATAGATCTATAGTGATTGGTTATTAAATAAAAAAGTACATAGAACGTGAATAAATCGAGATAAATGTGTGTATAAAATATATTTAGTTATTATATTCTTTAGCATTTACTAAAAAGAAAAAAAGGGCAGTGGAAATAGGGGAATTTGTAGAAAGTCGAAAGTTGGGCCTCACATCTTGCGTTGATATGTATTAAAGGCAAAGAAAAGAAAAAGAAAAAAAAGGAACCTCTCAAGTCTCAACTACCTAACAACCCCTCACCCTCACACTCTACCTCTCTCAACCCTAACCAAAACAAAACATGAATCTCTGAAATTCTCATTTCCTTTGCCCAAAGCTTCTCCAATGTGGCCACCGTGGAACAAATCAGCCATTCCAATTCACACCACCTCTTCCTCATTCTCCTGCTCCTCCTTCAAAGACATCCAATCCCTCTGCCTCGAAGAGCCCCCTCTTCCCGCAACAGCAACAAAACCCTCCGTCTTCCACCGAGTCAGACTCGCTAACTCGCTCCTCCGAACCTGCTCGACTCACCTCCAACCCCTCAAACACTCCCTCTCCCTCTCCCTCCCCCAACCCCATGTCTCCAAACCCACCATTTATTTCCCGGGCGCCGAACACCGCGTCGTCGTCTACTACACCAGCCTGCGCGTCGTCAGGCCCACCTTCGAGGCCTGCAAGACCGTGCTCTCCATCCTACGCGGCTTCCGCGTCCGAATCGACGACCGCGACGTCTCTATGGACTCCGCCTTCGCCCACGAGCTCAACCGGATAATGGGCCGCCACGGGCCCGACCTCCACGCCGACCTCGGCCTGCCTCGCGTCTTCATCGCTGGCAGGTACGTCGGTGGCCTCGACGAGGTCCGGCACCTCAACGAGGTTGGCGAGCTCAAGAGGCTCCTCCAAGACCTCCCCGCAGTGGATCCCTCCGACTGCCACGTGTGCGCCGCTCACAGGTTCGTCCTTTGCGACCACTGTAACGGTAGCAGGAAGGTCTACACCGACAAAAGTGGCTTCAAAACGTGTAATGCCTGCAACGAAAACGGTCTCGTTAGGTGTCCCTCTTGTCTTGCTTCTGCTTCTTCGCCCTTTTCACCCTCCTCCTGATCCTATTTAACCATCCAAATTCCTTATTTTATTTTATTTTTTATATTCTTTAGCTTTTCTTTTTTGGATAATGAGTTTTGTAGCTTTTGGGGCTTGTGAGAATATGTATAGGCCCACCAGGTGGGGGATCGTAGATACTAGATAGATAGATGCAATGTGTGTGAGAGTATCTCTATCCCCCTCTGGAAGGGTAATATTTTCAAGGCTATATATTAATTAATTAGCTAACTTGTCTTTTTTCCTTTTACTCAATCACATTGTACTTTAAAAAAAATATGTTGTGCATAATTTAAATTTTTATTTTTCATCCATTTTTGTATACGCCTTTTTCTCTGTCTCTCCTTTTTCTTTAATTTTTTTATATGTTATTTTCATAATTTTTTGTAACAAATAATTTTGGGAGTACAGAATTAGAAAATGTTATGTTCATAATTTTGTTACAACTTCTCAACCAACTGGGTGTATATAAATTCATGTGCATCCTTTTATCAATGTCTGTAGATTATCAATGTCTGTAGTTTGATCCGGTATTTATTTGGTCATTGTTATATTTAACTAGTTTGGATGCATTCTGGACATTTGCTAGAAGTAGTTTGTCCTCTTATGTTCCAGTTTAGGCTCGAGTCTAGAGTTGTTGGATTCAAAGTTGTAACCTTCCACTGCAGTAGTAATATTTACTGACGGATGCCCGTCTCTGGGGTTTGGCAGATACCAAACTTATCCTCCAAACTTGCTGAATTCCTTCTTTACACCATCCTTGAGGATGATGTTTGATGAGTTGATCCATCGATGCCTCAATGATATTTCTGAGATTAGAAACTCTGTGTTCATGTGCTAAATGAATTAATTTTGAATTGAAAAGTGAGTTTGCTAAATAAATCAACTGAACCTGAATCATGTATAGTGTTGACAAAATAATATGTACCATTGCTGAAATTTGTATGGATATTTTAGTTTTGAATCAGTAATGGGTATTGTTACAAATTATTTTTATGTGAATACAGAGTAAATTTATATTAGGGTAGATCTTTTCGCAGTTTAAGCCTGAGTTTCTACTTTCTGATGTAAAAAAATACACTCCATACTCCATAGGGTAAGTTTTTGCTCATGTGTTAAATCTTTATTTGTTATTTTGAAAAGTCAAAACTTAAGTTCTAAATTATAAGTGTTGTTATGTTATCTAATCATAATTGGTTGGAGTTTCAATAATGATTTCCATTAAATGTGCATTCATTTTTTTTTTTTGGAGGTAATGATGTATATTCTTTAAATTAGTTTTTTAGGAGAACACCATTTCTATTCTCTAACCATAATAAATATAGGCCTTGGTGCAGTAAAGATTTGATCAAACCCTAGCCCCTAGGTAGCAGGGTGTACACTAAATCGTGTGTGTCCAGCACACGATGAGTTGGTTATATCTCAAATTCAAGCTTGTACGATTTGTATTAACTCGTGGGTTCTTATTACACGACCGTCATGAGTTTCAATTATTTATAGGTGATGGCAATATATGTTAACAAGTGTAGGCTATCCAGATTCATACCGCAAAATAATTCAGTCATTTTCTTTTGGCAATGTAGTTGTCACTTCAATTTGGAGATTCAATTACTGCAATTACTTCATGCTTTTATTCTTATTAATGTACCATCAATGGTTGAAATTTAAACTAATAGGGTTGATTAATTGCAAAATAATGATAACCAGCTTGGCAACCGATAAGACTTGCCACCAAACTTGTAATAATATCGTAGCAAACATCACTTTCTTCAGGATGAATGATGAAGTTGACATGCTACTTAGTTGTGTGTTCAATACTAGTAGATATTTAGAGCCAAGAGGATAAAAATCTGTTGTTTTGTTTCTTAATTTTAGATAGAAACCCTTCCAGACTGGGGGAAAAAAATCACAAGGCAATATTATTAATGACCCAAATTATCAAATTTTGATTGACTGGTAAGAAAATTTTCCACCTTTCATTGCCTTTTATCTCCTTTTGAAAAAATAATTAATTTCTGTCCATTAAAAGATTTATAACAATATTAATTATCTTTCCCGTTGCACTTTTATCTTAACTCGATTTTTAAATACTTTACACACTTATCATAAAAGAGAGAAAAGGTAAATGGAGTCATATTAACAAGTTAAAAATATTTTTAATATATTTAACAAAAAAATTATTTTAACATAAATAAAATATTATTCATATTCTTTCGTTTCATTGTTATCCGCCTAAATAAACATGAAAAAAAAGAAGAATGTAATATTTAGAAAGCTTGATTGACATGCACGCAACTTCTTATGAGTTATAACTCGAATGCCATACCTTTTATTATAAAAAGTAATCCTGGCTCATTGTGAAATCATTAGTTGTTGAGAAATTTGGTGTTGGGCTAGTTTGTTTTTCTCTCTTATTTCTAGCAAAAGATTTCTGATTTAGCTTAGCCTTCTCTTTAGTAATTGTCCCCATTGAAAGTATTGCATGGATGTAATAATTGAGAGGAAGCATGATAGAGTCTACAGAGAACTTAGGTCTACAAGACCAAATCTAAGAAAAATCTAAATCAGGAATTTCATCATGC